TTGCTGTTCAGTTTATAAAATTGTTTAAAACTGAACAAGAACTGACAGATTTCACGCTATCACCATATAAACAATAATATTGCTCTGATATAAACTGCCAAATATTAATTAAAAGGCATCTTCAATCCCTGTAAAATTTATTTGAAACATTGTACATTATCTAAGCCCTGTCAATGATCATAATAATATTAAATTGATTTGCCTTGCCAGGTGTTCACGAACAGTTCCATAAATCCTGTCACAATTTTTATTTTCGTAACATTAATTTTAGCTGCTGAATTTCATTTCATTATAACTACTTGTAACTGTATTTCTCCATCAACTGGTTAGCCAGCAGATTCAAAAGTTTTCGTTCAACTTATCTCTAGTGTTCTACATAAACCAAACTATTACATCACTCAAACCTCAACATTGAGAACACACACACAAACACACACACACACACATACACACATACACACACACACACACACACACAAACACACACACATGTATGGAATGTATGCATCACACTCTTACCGTTATACTGGACTTTCATCTTAGTCTGGCAGTCTACCAGATGAGCTCTAGCAATCTCACAGGTTTTGTGAAGCCGCTCACGAAAATAACTTACGTAGTCAAGGATAGACATTGACGAGGAACTCCGAGACTGCTCACTGAGTAGCTTAAGGGGACCTCTTACTGTATGTCCAAAAACCAGTTCTGCTGGACTAAAACCCAGCGATTCCTGAACACTCTCTCACAGTAAACATAATCAGAGGATTTGTTGAATCAGATCAACAAATCTTCCACCCAGGGGCAGCGTTTCCGTATGGCAGAGTATGGTAGTCGCCATACCTTAGCCCAGTCAAATGTGCCATGGAAAATTATCCAAACTTTATATCTCTATTTATTTCGTTATTATTATTTTAAATCAGTGCTATTGGTCTTCCTTATGTCTGAGGGTTTTACAAATATTTTTCCAATGACAAGCATTCAAAAGAGCTTGTCCCTAAAGCTTGTAACGCCATTTGATCCTCAAACTGTCAGCAAAACCTCGTAACTTCATTCCAACTCCACTCCAAGTGCCGCGCACAGCCTGGAGACAGTATTATTCGCAATGCAAGGATAAATAAATAACTGATGTTTGAATAAGCACAGCGTTTTCTTTAATCAAACACTATGTCTGTAAAGGCTAATATGTTTTTATGTGTCTGAAGAGCAGAGAAGAGTCTTAGCTTTTGCCATCTAGTTGTAGCCAATAGGCCTTTACTTCTGTACGTTTTAAATATAGCGCTTCATCGTTTATATCATGATATTTTGGTCAAATGTATTAAACGACAAGAAAAACTGTAGTGCCCACATAGCTATAATAAAAGTTATAACCTGTAAGTTGATGAAAGTGTTTATTGCCTCAGATACAGTCGTTCTAATGACAGACAAAAAACAGATCTCCGTCATTCGCTGGTCAACCAACTCCATTTGATCTTGATTTTCATAAAATGTTAAGTGTCTGATAAAGCCACAATACCAACTCTGATGACACAGTATTTAATTATATTTCTATCCTTTTTCCTATATTTCAGTGCTTAGTGGTGTGCCATTGGATTTTTTTATTTATCAAAACTGTGCCCCCCGCGATTTACACCACTGCCATACCCTATGGTTTTGTGAAACGCTGCCACTGCTTCCACCCAATCCTTACCCGTCCCAATGCAAAATTTTCGGAGCAATGACTGATGGAATCGCTCCAAAGCACCTTAGGATTGTGGGTGGTAAGCACTAGCCAATTGATGCTTAATACCCAACTCACTTAACATCTGCGAAAACAGTCTAGACGTAAAATTATTGCCCTGATCTGACTAGATCTCCTGTGGCAAGCCAAAGATGGAGCAGAACCTAATAAGCTCTTGCACAACCGTCCTAGCTTTACGAGTGCATAGAGGAACTGCCTCGGGGCAACGAGTCACAGCACACATAAGAGTCAAGACGTACTGGTGCCCTTACTTTGACTTAGGCAAGGGCCCTACACAGTCAATGATTAATCGTTCGAATGGCTCACCGATAACTGTTATCGGAATAAATGGGGCTCGGGGAACAGTTTGATTTGGCTTACCTGCCAGTTGATAAGTATGTCCAAATTTGGACACAGATGACTTTAAACCAGACCAAAAGAAATATTTGGAAACATTATGGAAAGTTTTAAAGCACTTTCTTGAGCTAGCTGTAGGACTTGTGATCGATAGTCAGATGGTAGCACAATTTGGTGAGCCTCTTGCCAATTCACATCAGAATATCACCGCTTCCATTTGCACATCAGCACTCGGCTACCCTAGCTTCTGGCACTTGTATAATGTCCACCAATGCACTCGATTCAAAAGGTTTTGAACCAATTTCAGGTACAACACTCAACATTAAAATTCCCACATATAATAACTTTACCCTGTGTATCACCCATCACTTCTTCTAAAATACTAATTTCTTTACATGGATTATAAAAAATTGTAATTCCAATTAATTCCCATTGCTTCTATGCTTACATATTCTGCATTATTATTTTTATATATTCTCTTATATGCTATGCCTTCTTTAATAAATGTTGCACACCCTCCAACTCTTCCAGTTTCTCTATCTTTCCTCTCTACTACATATCCATTGAACTTAAAATCCAAGGAGCTATTTAACCATGTCTCCTGAATACACATGATGTCTGGTACCTCTTCCATTTCTGTGATGTGTTTTTTAAATTCTTGCCCATTTGCTATTAAGCTCCTGGCATCCAATGTAGTATTAGGAAAGACATTATAACACCATGTATTATTACTCAGTCAAATTCAAAGCAGCAGTTCCTTCCTTTGCTTTCAGAATCCCATGGACTTCCTCAGCTGTAACTCCTGCTAACTTTAGTAATGTATTTGCACATACTATGATAATCTTTAACTTGCCGGACTTCCTTTCTGCCTGTGAAGTACCATTTACCACAGCACAAATGAATGCTACAAAGTCAGTTTTATTGATCATAAAATGAAGATCTGAATCATTCCTCGCAGGATTTCCACCTTTCTGTGTACAGGATTCCTTGCACATTGGTTCTCTTTGTTTCAGCTATACCTTTTACCTTGCAGGTGGCTTTTGCATATGGTCAATTTTGTACTGTGTTTTTTGTTGTTGTTGTTGTTGTACTTCTCGAGCTTCTTGTTGTACAGGACATCCTGCATATGCTGCACTATGTCCTCCCCACAATTACAGCATTTGATCTGTGCTCTCTCCTCACACTTGCCATACTCATGTTCTCCCCCGCATTTTGCACAATGCATTTTCCCTTTACAGAGATTTGCAGCATGTCCCATGTGTTGGCATTTGAAACATGTCATCGTGTCATTGGTGTACGACCAAACACAGTAACGACTACAGCAGCAAGCCTAGTGTTTATGTAACTCCATCATTCTTGTTATGCGCCAAATCGTGGGATGGCGGGACCCGCGTTATATTTTTTTGACCGTCCACTCCCGCCCGCAGTAAAGGTTAAACCTCCCGTTCCCGCGAGGATCCCAATCCCAATGCAGCCCTCTAATTTCAACTGAGGGTGGCCTTTAAATCCATCTGTGCCCAGGCACCGCCGCATCATAATCCGGCCCTGGTTGTATTAAATCAATATGAAAGTGTGAGTGTTGTATTGCTGGATATCAGTCATGTGATCATCACGGTCCAATCACAGCCACCATACTGATATTCAGATCAACAGCACTCTTACTCATGAGATATGTATGAAATATTGGTAACATGGTGAAAGCAGGAAGATCCAGACCTACAAGAGTAACGTTTACTGACTATTGAACGGTAAGATCCTCAGAGAGTCAAAACAATAGAAGAATGGGAAGAGTGTGTGAGTGAAGGTGGCTGTGAATGTGTGTAGATGTGTGTTAGTTACAGGATCAGAGAATGACACTGTTCCTCTGTCATAGTACAGATACACTCTCACACGATCAAGCTGCCGTTTAACCCGAAAACCAGAACCTATATACCGTCCTGACAGATGATACTCCACACTCCAGACATCAGTGTTGAAGAAATCACATCCCTTCCCCAGGTTTGATGCTGTAGTTACTCCAAGACACCAGCGTTAACTCTGTTTAACCTCCACATCCCAGCAGTGTGTTCCTGAGTTAAACCCCTCTGAACCCAGAACACAGGGATAGAAGTCAAATCTCTCTGGATTATCAGGAAGAGGTTGTTTGTTCCTGCAGTTTCTCACACTGGTCAGATCATCAGACAGGACAAGCCATGGATTCGCAGTGTTTGGATCCAGAATCACAGGAGCTGATGAGACACAATCAACAGATGCTGTTATTATGATAATGATCAAGAGTGAACCACACACAGTTTATTATGAATTATGACACTCATCCTGTTGATCAAACACATCAGACATTTTTCTCCGATCCTCTGTTATTAGTTTCATTTTTATCATCAGTGTTTAACATCATCAGCTACAAACATTAAATATGTGATTCAGGCATTTGTGTCTCATCAAGATAAAGTGATACTTTGGGAAAGTTAAAATATCAATAAATCAATTAGATCTGTTGAGATTTATGCTGTAGATGAAAAACTGTAAGTGTGTGTCTGATCTTCAGCAGCATCTGATCATCTTCGTTTAATTGAAAAAAATCAGACTGTCATTGATGGAATGTTCAAATGAGCCAAAACTGTTCAAACTCCAAATGACAAAAATCGAAAATAAAAAAATCACATTTAAACAGACAGAATCCCATTTGACTCAATTAATCCACCATTTTATCTAACATTTCTAATCTATCTATCTATCTATCTATCTATCTATCTATCTATCTATCTATCTATCTGTCTGTCTGTCTGTGTCATGAAGCACCTTTAACTCTCCACCCATCCATAATTTCCAATGTGAGTGTGTGTGTGCGAGCTCAGATCTTCTGCAGTCAGACTCACTTTTCTGGACGATGTCCTGCATCTTCCTCCAGACTCTGAAGGGCAGGTTGCGTTTAATCTGATGCTCTGTGTGCTCAGCTTGAGACTGAAATCAAACCACATTCACTTCAATCATCTCCATCGACACACATCAACACAAACACATCATTTATATCTGAGATAAACTCAGATACCGACATATAACAGATCCAGAAGCAGATTGATGATCGTCATTTACAAAAATAATCAACTGGAATCTATTATATTAAATGTATCAGATCATAACTATATTTATTACACGGCTTTGGAATACTTGATTCTGATTGGTCAGTCACAACAATCCGAAGTATGTTATTCCTCTGGTAAAAGCTGATAACACAGGCTTATCCAGGTAACTGAAGTCAGCGCCGCTTGCTAGAAACAGTTTTTCTTTGTGGAAGCTTTGCCTTTAGTTAGCTTATAAAATATTAAAACTCAATTCAATATTATGTGTCCTGATCACCCTGTCGGGGGTTATTCTGTGATAACAACTGGTTGGATGTACCTTTTCCCTTACATAGTTATCCTACATAGTGATCATTTTACTAATGAAAATGACTCTGGATTCTGTTTCCTCACCTTGATGTGTTGAACTGTTTTCTCAAACTCTCCTTTCATTGTTTCATTGTGTTGTAGTTTCTCTTGTAAGAACTTCAATGCTGCATTGAGCTCCTTCTAGAATTGAACAAAAACACATACAACACCAGATTACAGCGAAGAGAAGAAGAGAAGACGATACAGTGATTTGATCATATGATGCTGTGGAAAAAGTATTTGCCCCCATCCTGATTACTTCTGTTTTTATGTACATATCATAATAAATTTATTCATAAATTAAAACCTACCTACTAAACTGCCTGAAAAAGCACAACTAAAGTTTTGGAGTGGCCTCATCAAAGTCCTTACTTGAACCCAATTGAGATAATGTGGCAGGACCTTAAACAGGCAGTTTATGCTTGAAAATGCTCCAAAGTGACTGAACTAAAGCAGCTCTGCAAAGGAAAGCGGACCAGAATCCACCACAGAGCTTTGACAGACTGAGCTCCAGTTATCACAAAATATTGGCTGCAGTTATTGCTGCTAAAGGTGGGGCGATTTGTTTATCACGTGATAGATGTTAAAACTGGTATTCAGTGTTTACTGAGGTTGACTTTGTTTTATGCTGCATTTATTTTGAAGATCTAACACTGTTTAGTATGAGACAAAAACAGAAAAAATCAGGATAGACAAATACTTTTTCACAGCACGGTAAATGTTATATGAAGTTGAGTAAAATGGCAGAGAGAAATATCGAGTGCATGAATGTGGTTATTTGTGTTTATACATATTAATTTTTCTTTACGTGCAAAACAAGACACGTTTGTTGTACCTTATATGATGAAACCGCTTCACTGATGGGTCTGAATTTATGATTGTCATGTTGTTGTGAATCTCTACACACTAAACACACCGGCTGTTTGTCCTCCAGACAGAAGAGTTTGAGTTTCTCACTGTGTAAACTGCAGATCTCCTCAGATGAATGTCTCTCATTTCTCTCCTTCAGGAACGACTCGCACAAGTTTTTTAAAGCGAGATTATATGGTGGTTCTTCTCTTGAAGACCTTCTCCTGCAGACAGGACACTCCGGAGTATCCTTGGTTCTCCAGAACTGTTGAAGACACTCTTTACAGAAACTGTGACTACATGATAAAAGAACAGGAGCCTTGAAGATTTCACAGCACACAGGACACATATAATCATCTTCAGCTGCTGAAGCCATTCTCACTGTTTGTGCTCCAGCAATCTGAACTTTACTCTCACTTTCTGAACGATGGTTTCAAAAATGAATCATCATTAGAATCACAAAGATCTGCTGTCTGTTCAGAAACAAATGTCTCAAAATTCCTTATTTAAAATTGTTTTCTTCGTTCTCCACTGATTGCTGATTCTTTGTAGCTTTTGTTGAGACACGAGAGCCAGTTTGACAGAAAAGAGTAATGAGAGTCTCTTCCTGGCAAGTGCTGTAAAGAGGGTGGAGTTTATGATCACATGGTTGTGTTGAAACAGGTCAAAGAACAACATCGGGATATCTTCAGGTTAAAGTTTAACAAAATGCATTCAACATTAAACAGCATTGACACTCTCTCAAGTATAATATAATCTAAAAAACATTGGATCAAAAAGAACATATGGGAGAATACAAATATGCATACACTTTATTTTTGTTTTATTTATTGCTCTTCACAGCAAAATCCCTAGTGTCAAATGATCACTGCTAGTTTATGACTCCACACTCAGGGGTCATTTACACGACACATTTTCAACTTAAAAACAAATCGTTTTATGGGTTTTTGCTGCTCATTTACATGACAACAGTATTTTGGGGGCCATGAAAACAGTTTGAAAAGTTTTTGTTCTCCATGTAAACAACAAAAATGTGAATTTGTGAAAATGGTGATGTCATGTGCATGCATATTATTTATTCAGTCTATAGACCTTATTCTCCAGAGAAATAAGTGTGCAGCCATCTTTAGAATATTGTCTTTGAACTTAAGTTTTTGCGGTGGCTCAATGTATTTCTGTGGCATCATTGTCAGAGTAATTAGTTAGTCAAGTGGATTTACTTATTGTAAAGTTAACTAAAGTTATCATGAGCATAGCAATGTTTAAAGCAGATGACTTAAGCCATTTGAATTACGGGGACACAGAAACTGTCCTCATAAACCACCTTCACATTGTAATACCCATGTAATTGCATAAATTTGTGTCCTCAAACCACACACACACACACACACACACAGTCACACATATTTCAGTAAATAAACATTACTTAAACAGTAACACATTATTATTATGTTTTTTGTTTTTGTATATCACAAATGTATATGCAAGCATACATATTATTTGCAGCTAGTAACTGGTCTACATGCCTTTTCCAGTTGAGGTGACCATCAGCGAGTTCAACAGTGTAAGACACTGGCCCAGTTTGTGCAATACAACTGCTGGTAGCCATTTGACACCCTTTTCGTAGTTACAAGCTAGCACTTTGTCTCCAGGTCTGAAACAACGATGTTTTGCTTTTAGATGTCATTCCACCTGAATGTTTTGTTGTGCTTGAACGGTCTGTTTTTTGAGGTTGTTTTCTTTCTTTTGAGCATTGCGGTGGCAGGAGACACTTTGGTGGTTGCAAGAAGGGTGTTTCTGTAAGAGAGTGGACAAGTGTTGAGGTGTTGATTAAGTGATCCTTGTGTTGACTTAAGAGCTTGCTTCATTGTCTGGACAAACCACTCAGCGAGACCGTTAGTATACGGGTGATAAGGTGCTGATCGGATGTGTTGAATCCTGTTGGCCTTCATGAATGCCTCAAACTCCTCTGAGACTTGCTGAGGCCCATTGTCACTGACAAGTTGCTGTGGAAGGCCAAAAATTGAACGGAGGGCTTCCACAGTTTTCACAGAATACATGCCATCGAGACCACTCTGGCTAAATACTTAGCCGTTATCAATATACAACATAAAAATGGCACATGAAAAATAATAGTAACCTGCACTAATACCCCCTTGTTCACGCACACTTACAAACACACAACAAGTGCCGGGGGGCCGGTAACAATCAATAATTAAACCAGGCCTCCCCAGCGAATAAGATGCGCCCAACATTGCCACAGTTCAATAAACCATTAAGAGCAAATAATATACTGCTGGCTTTCTTACCCGCTACCGGATGTGGGGTACATTGTTCGGGAAAACCACCGGCGACCGCCAAACTTTAGTTACAAACTATCCCTCCCAATCGCTTCACACACATCGCAAGAAAACATCCAGCCCATGTCCCAGCATGGCAGCCTCGACAAGAAGCTCAGCAGCACTCACATACAAAAGACCCCCCTCACAATAGCAGACATCATACCTTTATCGATTTCCTTACAAATGCAGCACAGGCGCTCATTTCTTTCCCCCATTGAGACGTGAGGGGGGCGCTACGATCGCCCCTCTCCTTGCCTAAAATGAAGGGCTTACAGTATGAAATGTTCTCGTCGCCAGTTGTTATTTATTACTTCCTATTCTCTAAGAAATACACGTCAGATGGGAGTGAGTGTATTACCAGTGCTTGCCATTTATTTTTTCCTAAATGGCACTACTCCAAAACCTACGGTGTTTTCGTACTAATCACGTAACTTATGAGGGGGTATAGAAACTCAGAAGGGACAATTGGCATTTCATAAATACACAACAATAATAATAATATGTATACTATTGTGCTTTAGTAGGGCAGTCGTGGCCTAATGTTTAGAGAGTTGGACCCGGACTGGCCATCGGGAGCACCAGGAGAATTCCCGGTTGCCTGCCGTCTGATTTGGCCCGCTGACCAGTTTAAAAAAAGTTTTTTTTTTTTTATATGATTATTATTTTATATTATTGCCTGCCACGTGTCAAGTCAAGTCAAGTCACCTTTATTTATATAGTGCTTTTAACAATACAGATTGTGTCAAAGCAACTGAACAGCATTAATTAGGAAAACAGTGTGTCAATAATGCAAAATGACAATAGTAAACACTAATTTTTCAGTTAAAGGCAGTTCATCATTGAATTCAGTGATGTCATCATCCAGCTAAGTTCAGTTTAAATAGTATCTTTGCAATCATTTGCAATCAAGTCAACGATATCGCTGGAAATGAAGTGTCCCCAACTAAGCAAGCCAGAGGCGACAGCGGCAAGGAACCAAAACTCCATCGGTGACAGAATGGAGAAAAAAACCTTGGGAGAAACCAGGCTCAGTCGATGTCACGTTTCACTCAAGAGAGCACTGGAATGAAGGAGCGAGGAGACGAGGAGCAATACAAATGAAAAGGGTTTAATGAGGGTAACATTCAGAACACAGGGAACACTGGAGACATCAAGCAGACAACATGACATTTAACAGCAGACGGGAAACACTGGGAAACACAGGGTTTAAATGCACAGAAACTAATGGGACACACCTGGGAACAATACGAACTAAACGGGGAACACCTGGACTCAAATTAGAAACAATCAGGGAGCAGGAACAGGAAGAATACCAAATAAAGGGCAAGGAAGGCAGATGGGGAGCAAAACACACACACACGACAGAAACAGAGTCTAACATAACGCCCCCCTCTGGAAGGCGAGGGGGGCGCCTTGGAGGTCCCTCAGGACAGACTCATATGGAACCGGGACGCCTCCAAGGCAGTACCAGATCCGGGCACCATGGCGGAGCAGGCAGCTCGGGAAGCCATGGCGGATCAGGGAGCCCGGGGAACCATGGCAGAGCCGGGAGCTCACGAGGCCATGGCGGAGCAGGGAACTCAGGGGGCCATGGCGGAGCCGGGAGCTCAAGAGGCCATGGCGGAGCAGGCAGTTCAGGAGGCCATGGCAGAGCAGGGAACTCAGGGGGCCATGGCGGAGTAGGGAGCTCGGGAGGCCATGGCGGAGTATACAGTTCAGGAGGCCATGGCGGAGTAGGGAGCTCAGGAAGCCATGACGGAGTATACAGTTCAGGAGGCCATGGCGGGGCAGCCTCTACGGCCGGAGCCCCACAACCCCCACCCCAAAAAATACCTGGGGAGAATTACGGGCATCTTGGCAGGAACGGGGTCATGAGGGCGCTCTGGAGGGTGCTTTCGAGGAGCGGGCTCTGGAGGGCGCTCTGGAGGCGCGGGCACAGGAGTGCGATCTGGACTGGATTCAGGGACTGGAGCCCTCCTTGGGCTAAACATGGGGACAGGAGTCCTCCTTGGGCTAAACTCAGGGACAGGAGCCCTCACTGGGCTAAACTCGGGGGCAGGAGCCCTCACTGGGCTAAACTCGGGGGC